ACATGATAGTATGGAACCTCTCCAAAAGTTATCTATGCAATTTTGTCAATGCATTACTGATCTGTGAGTTATGCCTCTAATACCTTGTGAATGATAGAAGGTGTCACTACCACACATGCCATAAAAGTATTGAACAACTCATCAACTGTCTTTAAAGCATTCCATTCAGTGGCGAATAATGCAGAAAGACTCACATAAGGTCAGCTATTGAGTGCATCTGCTACCACATTCATTTTCCCTAGATGGTACTGTATAGAGAAATGATAGTCTTTCACAAACTCTAACCATTTGCGCTGTCTCATATTCAGCTCCTTCTGAGTGAACAAATACTGCAGACTCTTATGATCACTGAATAATCTGAAAGACTCTCCCAACAGATAATACCTCCAAATGTGTAAGGCAAAGACCACAACTGCCAACTCCAAATAGTGCGTCAGATAATTAAGCTCATAAGTCTTAAGCTTACGATATCCATACAAAATTGGTCGCTCCTCTTGCATCAAAACACACTTAAGACCTTGCAAAGAAGCATCTGTGTAGATATGATACTCTATCCCGCTCTGTGAAATAGATAGAATAGGTGCAGAAGTCAACTTGCTTTTCAACTTATCAAAGGCTTTCTGACAGTGTTCATCCCATACGAACTATATACCCTTCTCAGTCAAATGAGTGAGTGGTCCCGCTATCTTCGAGAACCCCTGAATGAATCTACGATAGTATCCTGCTAATCCTAAAAAACTCTGAATCTCCGAAGGTGTAGTAAGCTACCCCCACTCTACCACTACTAAAACCTAGGCTGGATCCATTGCTATTCCCTTTTCTGACATTACGTGACCCAGAAACTTCACTTATCACTGCCAAAATTCACATTTCTCGAACTTGGCATATAACTAATGTTCACGAAGTGTTTGCAATACTGTGCGAAGATATTTAGCATGATCATCCTCTGGCTTAGAATAAATCAAGATATCATTAATAAATACGATGACAAACTGATCTAAATAAGTCCTGAAGACTATGTTCATTAAATCCATAAAAACTGCTGGTGGGTTAGTCAATTCAAAAGGCATAACACAAAACTCATAAGAACCATATCTAGTGAGAAACGCTGTCCTAGAAACATCCTGCTCCCTAACCCAAAGTTTATGATATCCAGAACGCAAATCAATCTTAGAGAAGTAAGTAGCTCCTTTCAATTAATCAAAAAGATCATTAATCCTTGATAAATGATACTTATTACGAATAGTAACCTTGTTTAACTCCCTGTAATCTATATATAAGCGAAGTGAACCATCCTTCTTCTTGACAAACAAAACTGGTGCTCCCCAGGGTGAAGTACTCCTACGAACAAAACCCTGACTGAGTAATTGTTGAATCTGATTTCTCAACTCTCGCATCTCCACTGGTGCCATCCTATATGGTGCCCTAGCAATAGGCGTAGTGCCTGGAGCTAACTCAATAACAAAGTCTATCTCTCGACTCGGTGGCAACACTAGAATCTCTTGAAACACATTCGGGAATTCATGTACAATTGGTATGTGTGATACCCCTCGGATCCGAGACACGGTTTGATCAGGCCCAAGCCCAAACCCGAGGGAATATCAAACAATTAAAGTATTTTAAAGCGAACACAGATGACAAAATGAAACAAAAGTGATGGAATAAAACTGAAAGTAACATTAATTATAAAATCCTCCATGTATAACTGAAAATTAAAAATCCAATCCTCCAAAACTTCAAGGTTACAACTTGGGAATCCACTGATGGACCCCTAACCAAAAGTTCAACTGAAACTGAAAACTGAAAATAGATAATGCTAGAAATATCGAGAGAAGTCCTACGTAATCAGATGAAGGTGAGACTGTCCTCGACAAGCACGATCAAGCTCTAAGGCTGGAACCGTCCTGTACCTGAAAAGAATAATAAAGGAGTGGGTCAGACCCACGAGCAAGTTCTAATCTAACTGCAATCCTTACAGTGACCCGATACGCAGATACACCGTAAACACCTCACAATATCTATCTAGTCCATACGTATAAATATATCCACACTAAGGGACATTCACCAGTCTATAATAGGGGTCTCAACCTGAATAGAAGGTAACATGCGAATACGCACCCAAAGGTGGGCATGAGTACCTAGACCTAACAGGGTACACCTCAACCTATTATAACCAGCTACGCATCCACTGCATATACGCACCCTAACCAACGAGTCTGAGACTCAAGCTCAACTCGTGGTACCATAACCATATATATAAAGTCCGTCCAAATCCAGGGTATGCAGTTCAACTATTTATTAAACTGTCATACAAAAAAACCAACTAGTTAGTCATTCAACTTATTCAGTTGATATGACTTAACTACCATCCGTTAATCCAGGAAGTCATCCAACTTGTTTACAGCTGATCTGACTTAGTCACAATTAGGATTCAATATCTTTCAATCCATTCCATTAATCCATTAGGTTAGGTTTATGCGTTTTGAGCTAAACCGTCCCTAGTATGTCACCGTCCCATACCGGTACATACCATCCTCCATATCCATGTAAATTACAACATATATAACAGTTCAATAATTTACGAACCAAAAACTACCATCCAAACAATTGCAAAAAAATATTTAAAGCTTCAGCAATTTAAATCCAAGCATTTAACCATATAGTTGCAGGAGACGATTTAACAAATCAATAACTAACATCCAGAGCATGCATAGACCAAATTTAATATGTCAGGGACTCCATCATGCATGTGAATAGGTTAAATAATCTTATTATTAACCAATAACTTGCTAAAACAATTCAGAAGATTGTTTAAATATTTCAGCAGTTTAAATCCAAGCATTAACCATATAGTTGCAGTAAACAATTTAATAGTTCAGCAACTAGCCTCCTAAGCATGCATAGATCAAAATTAATAATTAAATGACCTTATCATGCACTTGAATGCATTCTAAAACAAGTTTTATAAACACATTATGTTCCATCAAATTGCTGAATTTTAATTCAACAATTAATTCAACTTCCATTTGTTAAGTGCCTTAATTTTTACATTGTTTGTCCCAACAACTTAGAATTAAACTTTACTCAATTTAGGGCCTTAATGACACTCAAAATTCATTCCTTGATCCCTCTGTAAAGTTCCAAATTCATTCCAACAGTCTCCATGCTCCAACAGTGAACATAGTATGTAAAAAATTAAAAAAAATCGTAAAATAAACCAAAAATACCAAGGGAGCCTGCTCCAGAATTTGGAGCAGGCTCTTTTCCAGCCTAGAGCCGGCTCTAGGACTTCCTAGAGCCGGCTCCACTTTGTTGTGGGAGCCGGCTCCCACTTCCATGGAGCCGGCTCTCACCTCCTGTGTGAGCCTTCGTCCCCGGTGCATGTTTCAGCTTTTGTGCTCCTTCTCCGGCTTATGCCTAACCCTCTGTTAGTTTTAAAACCAAACTTAGGTGTCCTATTAATACCCAGTAGCATCCCAATGGCTTGATAACAACAATTAAAACAATTATAGAGACTAAATTTGCTACCGAACTAACCTGCGTTAGGAACAAAACTGAAATCATAATTCTATTCCAACCGCTCTGTTTCTCTTCACAAACTGATCTTAGGAGTCTTATAACATCCCACTAACATCCCTAGGGTTCGTTTATAGAAGATAGAGGCAAGAATCATAACCAACGCTCAACAGATTTTTAATATGCTTTAATGAACAGAACAGGGAGCAAACAATACACGAACTATAAACAGATTTGGATTCGATGCAAACAAATCATCAACAAGCATACATTGAACCCATAAGTTTCATTTACTAATTAGTTAATCCCTAGAGACTATCTAGGTGCACAGAACACGAGCCAAAGGGAAGGAGAAAGAGAAGAACTTGCCTGTGATTTCAATCTTGAAATCCCTGTGTCGTCTCTAAGTTTTCCGGCAATTCTGAACGCCGCCAAGCTTCCTATAACTCAGTCTCTAATTCTTACTCAACCTCCTTGGTCCTCTCTATACACTTCCTCTTAAGCCTCACTCTGTTTTCCCACAACTGCTCTCTGTTTCTCTCTCTCTGTATCTCACGGTCTCTGTTGTTTTTACAGAAATTCCGGTTAATTATTCTCAAACCCTAAACCACCGTGACACACATACTTATAGGCTTAGTGATTAAACCCTAATCCATGTAACCTTAAGCCAGAGCCCATCTCGGCCCATAAACCGACCTAAGATAAATACCTACGTCGGCCACCTAAGTAATTGCAACCCTAAAGTTAACTGTAACTAAAACAGAATTAAATGAAAAAAAAAAAAAAATTGAAGTAAATCCACTTAACTAATTAATTCCAATTAACCCAATTAAATAATTAAAAACACTTAAACAATAAAATGCCAATTAAAGAATAAAAGATAACTTAATTCAATTTAAAACTTAATTCAATTTAAAACACATGACACATAGGTAAACACTTACATCAAAACAATAAATAAAAATAATTAATCCAAATAATTCATGTAAAAATACAATAAAAATAATAAATAAATACTGAGACTATCCTTTTAAAATTAGGGGTATTACAGTATGCTATCCAGTGATACAGTAACCTCCTCCTCGGTGTTAGAAACCCCGTTAGAATGTGGCATAGTGACGACGTACATATCCTGACCAAGTATAGCGAATATAATAGACCTATTATGACAATTAACTTAGGCATGGTAGTGAGATAACCAATCCATCCCGAGTATCACATCATAAGTGTGCATGTCTAGGACTAATAGATTGGCTAAAAACCTAAATCTACCAATATCTAGTGTCACAGGCCCATCACTCTCATGAAAAATAGCAGTATCACCTATAGGTATAGCAATACTATGTGGTCGATCACATATTTGTGTTACCAATTAAACTATAAACAATATTTCTGAATACTCCGTAGAGCAAAACACATATAGCACATAATGCACTATTAAATCTATTCACGTTTAGGAAATCGCTCTTTTTTAGGACCCTTCCTTTGAAATCAAACTTACAGAATTGATTCCAACAAGTTCTTTTTATAAACTCATCAGTAATCATCATATCTCAATACAATGCAGTTATAAGCAAAAATGTTGTTTGCCTACCCAAATACCAATCACTCCATTTGATACTCCTTTATTATCACAACATGTACTTTCTAATATGATCTAATAAAACCATTTATGCAAATATATTTATAAAAAAAATGCTTTCATGAAACAAAACAGAGATACCAAAACCACCAGTTCACTTTATTAATAACTTCTTTAAACCATAAACTTCCAAAAGAATAATCATCATATATTCTTTAAAGATAATCAAATACTAGTATACGTAATTTAAACAATACTATTCTTCTAATAATACTTCCACTGCTATTAGGAATAAGTATCATCATTCTTAAAAGAGCATTCATCCTTGAGCTTCGGTACCCTCCTTCTTGGATGCTTCGACATCTTCTCGTTTCGGACACTGCCTAGAAGTGTGTCCCAGCTCTCTACAGGTATAGTAACTACCCCTGAATGTACCAAACCATCTTCTCTATTGGTTAGCCTGTGGCTAACCCTGTCCTGTCTGTGGTCCCCCATTCTGCTGTCTCTAATCTAATCCAGGACATTGGTTGGCTAAATGCCCAAAATCGCCACACTTATAACAATGACCGTTAAAAATAGTCTGAACCACTGGTGTTGCTACTAATGTCTGTTGAATGTGCGACTGATTTAGAAGTATAGTTGTTACACCTGCTGCTACAGCCTGAGCAATGATGTAAACTAACTGAGGAGAATACTCAGGATCCTTGCCCAGAGTGTGGCCTCAATCCTGAGACTCCTGAGTCTGTCATACTTCCTCCTGCTAAATGTGCAACTGATCACCCTCCTCCTGAAACCTTGGCAGTGGTTGCTCTTCTGCAACTTGCTGATGTCATGGAGATTCTGTGCCTACGTATCGCTCCCCTTCACTGCCTATTTCTTTTATTGTCCCGTCTTCTTTTAGTGTTAACCATTTTGTTAACATAGAAAGATAGACATTAGAATGATTTAGGCAGACCATAAAGGAATACAATGAATCCTAAACTTAGGCTCTACATGAAAAAATACGCTACGCGGAAGTCAAATAACAATAGATCCCTAAAGACACTTAACCTTAGAGTGCTCTGATACCTACTGTGATACCCCTCGACTCCGAGACATGGGTTGATCAGACCCAAGCCCAAACCGGAGGGAATATCAAATAATTAAAGTATTTAAACGAACACAGAATACAAAAATGAAATAAGAATAAAGAATAAAGCTGAAAGAATACTATAATCCTCATTAATTAATCCAATAATAAACCTCTAATAATAAAATCCTTTGATACTAGTAATTAATTAACATTACAACTTAGAAATCCATCATGTGGACCCCTAATCTAAAATCCAACTGAAATAAAATAATATCTGACTAAAACAATAATAAGGAAATCCTATGTTAAGACGGAGGAGTGAATAAATCGTCTCTACTCAGCACGAACAATCCCTGAGCCTGGAACTGATGAACACCTGAAAAATAATGGTGAGTTAGGCCCACAAACAAGTTCTAATCTACTACATCTCAAACAGAGACTTAGAACTCATATACATCTTAGTCAATCCAATAATAACTACATAATTCGTATATATGTAGATACACACTAAAGGAACCTCATTAGACTATAGGGTTGTCTCAACCTAAATAATAGGTGACATACAAAATGCACATACAGTGGGCATGAGTACCTAGACCTACCAAGGTATATAACTACACTATATCTAACTACACATCCCTGGCAATATACGCACCCTAACTATGATCTTGAGACTCAAGCTCATATCATGGCATATAACTATATATATATAATCCATCCTATCCAAACATAAAATAAATATTCGGTATGTCATCCAACTGATTTAGTTGACCTGACATGAAAATATGTAGGATTTAACATTTTAATTAATCTATTCTGTTATACATGAATAGGTAAGACTTAACGTTTTTAGTTAATTTGTCCCTAATATACCACCATCCCATACTAGTGCATATAATGCATACAATTCATAAATGATACTACAGTTATAATATCACATCAAATAAATCCATACATAGCATGATATAAATCATACAGATATTCATTTGCATTTAATTGAGCAAAATGTAACAATTCTAAGTACCATGCTGATGAGCGCTAAAAAGTACGCATTTAAACCTCTTAAGCTCAAGTATTCTAGAACATTTATCTATCTTACTTTCCTATTTTTAATTAATTTCATGTTATTACCCTTTTTCAGGTGTTTATCCCTAAAATAAGTCAAGTCAGCCAAATTAGAGCATAAAAGAAGCAATCTCAAGCTGAATAGAAGAATGGAGCAAAGTGGAGGAAAATAGCAAGCTTCGATCGATCAGACATATTTTGTAATGACCCGAGTTTTATTCAACCCGGTGCGTCAATAATGACCCAAAAGTTGACCCGGTAAAGGATCCGAAGTGCTGAAGCAAAAGATAAACCAAGGTCTCTAGGGATATAAATCATCCCTAAGACACCAATGTAACACTCCATGAAGTCACAGAATAGAAGGAAAATGTTAGAGAAAATGAGGGTCAAAACGGGTGAAATCCGTTAATCAAGGGTAAAATGGACAATTTATAATTAAAGAGGAAAATTTGACTCTAAATAAGTCAAATGAGGTCTATACAACCTAATCTTATCATTTCACAACAATCCAAGAGATTCTAAGAACTTTGGACAATAATCCCACAAAACGCCATTTCCCGGTTGAAGCAAAAACTGACACTATCTCACTAAAACATGAATAACTCTCACTGTGATTTGAATTTGAGAATTAAATTGGTAACATTAAAAATCTGACTCAAAATCCTTGAGTTTAGGCTCAAGAATCACCCCATTTAGGTTAGAAATGAAGAAGTTATGACCATTTGAAGTCGGAACAACAGTGTTGATACAAAACTAAAGGCTGCTGTGCATGGGTGCTATTTCAGTCAACCGAACTGGAGTTTCAGACGACTGAAATAGATAAAAACTTTTCTGAATGCTGGTTTTTGAGGGAAGTTCACTTCGGTAGACCAAAATAAGGCATTGATCGACTGAAATGGAGTTTCGGACGACCGAAACACCTCAAATCCTACTGGAAGCTCTACTAAACATGTGAGATTTGCAATGGGACCTATAGGATTCATTCCACCCACATGCATAGGTCAAAAACTGATTCTTTTTAAAGGATATTGAGCATGTGAACATGTCAACAAGCATAATATGAATATTTGAATATATAACAATGGCTCACGGCCTCATACACATCAATTACAAGAATCTCATATGCCCAACCCCCAAAGTTAGTTAAAATACATTTTTAAAGCAACATATGCTACCAAATGAGTACAAGTGCTAAATTAAACATGTTTGGCCATTGGCCTTATTACATACACATCTAAGGAGTATCAAAAGGTGCACTTAAGTGCACATTACATAGTTTAAACCATAAATACATGTTTCGACATAATAACCCAAATGAAGCATGATATGTTAACAAGTGCATATTCTAATATAACAAAAATACTCCAAGTAGTCAAGCAAGCCTAAGAGTGTTGTACATCCCATAATAATGCTTCTTTACCTGAAAAACACCTAGTAACTTTGGAGTGAGTAAACAAGTTTACTCATAGGGAATGAGCATGCATAGGCTTATCTTTATACAAAGTTTGCAATTCAATACAATTTAATCCATGCTATTAAAGTGACATTAGAACTTTCACATAGCACAATGAGATGTAATTTCACAAAGTTATCAACTTGGAAATTAAAGTACGAAATCAAACCAAAGTGGATACTTGGATATTGTCCGGATTAAAACCGTACTCTTGGGATCACTTTAGGCTATTAACCCATGGGTACCTTCCCCTAGTGTGGGGACCTTTTTATCTCCCATAATATAACCAAGTCCTAGCCAAGTCGTGTTCTTAATAATATCCCAAGTTTCCAAAATCAACAAGTTGAGCAACAAGTCACGATATGTGATAAAAAAAATACACTAAAGCTCAATGAATTACATGACTAAATCATTAGATCAATAAGATAGAAATTAAGTAGACTAACTAGTTAATTTCTCTAGATTTCAAGAGTTGTTCAAATGATTCGAATTTAATATATAACAAGAAGTATGTTATGGCCATGCCATATATCAAGTCCAAATTGGAATACAAGCATGGTACAAATAAGTAAAGTTAAAATCAATTTAAATTACTTAAGTCTCTAGATTTAAAAGCTCATTAAAACCATGCCAAATTAAGATACAACAAAGATCAAGTCACCGCCATGCCGTATATCAAGTCTAAAGTGAGTTATATACAAGCTATAATTAATCATTAATTTCTCATTTTAATACAAGACATGTATACAACTTGGATATCACTACAAAAACAATTAAATCACTTAGATAATAAACTAGAACACCCCCTACCTCAATAGAGAATTGTATCTCTATAATCCAAGGCAACCAAGCTTAAAAATGGAAAACCAAATAAGGGTTTTGTAGAGGAAAATGAAAGGAAATTAAAGTACTCCAAGCTTAAAGGTCTAAGGTTAGTGGAAGGAGGCCAAAAATGAAGTCAAAGCTCTAAGTCAAGCTTTACTCCAATAGTGGCTAAGTTAGGGCTTGAGAGGAAAGAGACGAAGTGAAAATGAAATGCAAACCCTAAGCTAAATGTGGTGGGATTCTCCACTCACTATGTGCTATTGCACTACCTCACACACACACACAATGCACACACACAATGCAAGACTAAGTATGGTGCCTACACTTGTTACCATCCTAAGTAAACTTCCAAGACTTAATATTAAGCCTACACTTGTCAACCATTCATGCCAACAAGTGCTCCTATCCTAGGCCAACAAATAGGTGAATCTCCACCCTCCATGTTTTATTAAACAAGGCTTCCAAGTGGTTCTACCACAAGATCAACAAATGGCACCATGGGAGTGTGACACTTGTCACATTTTCTGAAAATTGTAAAAAGGTCCTTTTTGAAAATGTCT